CCCAGGAATGGAGAATATTTGCTGAACTTCCTATTTGGGAGGCAGTGCCCCTCCCACCCAGCAGCTGCTCCTTGGTGGCTGAGCCCTTGCCATGTTTTCAGCCAGGGAATTCCTGCTTTGCCTTATCTCCATGGCAGGCCACTGAGAGCCAAGTTGGACTGAAGTCAAGACACAATGTAATGATATCAAATATCTATGTAATCATTGCTTGTCCCTTGTAACTCCTCTTTTAAGCACTGTCCAAGAAATGAGTGTAACTTTTGTTGTAAATTCAAACCTAAGGTGGAATCTCTTAGAGATTCCCCTTAGAGGTCATTCTATTTCTAAGGTGATGATGACGTCATGGCCTTAGTATAACAGGTTCTGTGTACATGAAATTTGTATTGTGGACTAAGTTTTAGAAATTTTCTACCTTGCTTCCAGTATAAGACTAATTCAAGATGTACCTAAAAAACTACCTTTGTTTTATATTTATTTTTACATATGTTCTTAAATGTATTAGGTAGGACCAATTTGTCAGTCACTCATTCATTCATTCATACACAGTTTCAACCAACATTTGTTGAATATTAGATCTCAGGCATAAGCTAGGACCTGGGACACAAGGCAAATAATACAGACTCTGCCATCCAGGAGAAAGAAAGGAAAGAAATGACATTCGATGAGTACCGGTCACCTCTGCCAGGCATTGGGTTACAAAGACAGATGTGTTAACAAATCATTAAAACAGAGTTTGAAAGGTTCAGAAAGTGGTCATTCAAGACTTTGTGGGCACACAAGGAAGGGGTGATGAAGTGTCCTTCAGATGAAGGGACTCAGCTGGCACTTGCAAACACAGGCAATGTTTCTGTTTTCTAGTTTTGTGTTGCTTCCATGCGCCTCTAGCGCTCCTCTTTCCTCCAATACACAGGAGCCTTTCAAGTGTAAGGTGACTTTTATTAGCACAGACTATAAAAAAGTGAGCTAAATCCCTAATAGAACCTCAGTTTACTCAGTGAGCATTGTTTTGCTTGTTTAGTGTATGTATGAAAAACAAGGTATACAGTTTCAATAGGTAACTAATTTTATTAGTCCCTCATGGATCTTTCCTATGTTCATGCATATACAAACAAATACAAATGTGCCTACTTACTCTCCCCTACTCCTGCTTTTATACATAAAATGTAGACACTATCTACAATACTCTGTACCTTGCATTTCTGCATTAATAATACACCCTGGACAATGATAGTGTTGTAATTCTTTTTTTTTTTTTTTTTACTGTTGTATAATATTCCATTTTGTGATTGGTTCATAGTTTACTTAACCAAATCCTTACTGATAATCATTTGGGTTTTTTGGTTTATAGTCTTTTGTTCTTACTAACTTGTAAATACAGCATTTTGTATGCATACATGTACACCCAAATGGTTAACACTCAGAAATGAGTTTGAAGGGTCATATGCATTTTTAATTGGATTAAATACTGTATTGGCAAAGTGTCCTCCATAAGGATTGTACCACTTTGCAATCTCACCAGCATCTATGAGAATGCCTATTTTGCCAACATTTGGATTTTTGCCAATCTAATAGGTAAAAAGTTGTATCTCAGCCAAGTTTTAACTTGGCTTTCTCTCTCTCTCTTTTTTTTTTGTGAGGAAGATCGGCCCTGAGCTAACATCTGCCAATCCTCCTCTTTTTGCTAAGGAAGACTGGCCGTGGGCTAACATCCGTGCCCATCTTCCTCCACTTTATATGGGACATCGCGACAGCATGGCTTGACAAGCGGTGCATTGGTGTGCGCCCGGGTTCCAAACCGGTGAACCCCGGGCCACAGCAGCGGAACACACGCACTTAACTGCCTGTGCCACCAGGCTGGCCCCATTGCCTTTCTCTTATATGAGAGGGGACGAGGATCTCTTCATTCGCTTAAGGGCCGTTTGCATTTCTTCTTCTGTAAATTGTTCATGTCCTTTGCTCAGTTTTCTTTGGGATTCCCATTTTCTTTGTTTTTTTTCCCAGTTATATTGAGAAATAATTGACATACATCGCTGTATAAGTTTAAGGCATACAGCATGATGGTTTGGTTTACATATATTGTGAAATGGTTACCACAATAGGTTCAGCTAACAGTCATCTTCTCATATAGATACAATAAAAAGGAAAAAAGTTTTCTTCTTGTGATGAGAACTCTGAGGACCTACTCTCTTAACAGCTTTCCTATGTATCCTTCAGCAGTGTTAACTATAGTCATCATGTTGTACATTACATACCTAGTACTTATTTATCTTATAAGTGGAAGTTTGTACCTTGTGACCACCTTCCTCCAATTCCTCCTGCCCCAACCCTCCACCTCTGGTAACCACAAGTCTGATCTCTTTTCATATGAATTTCATTTTTTTTTTCTTTAGATTCCACATATAAGTGAGATCACGTAGTATTTGTCTTTCTCTGTCTGACTTATTTCACTTAGCATAATGCCTTCAAGGCCCATCCATGTTGTCGCAAATGGTAGGATTTCCTCATATTTTTATGGCTGAATAATATTCCATTGTATATATATACAACAACTACTTTATTGTTTCATCCAGCGATGGACGCTTAGGTTGTTTCCATATCTTGGCTATTGTAAATAATGTTACTATGAACAGGGGATGCATATATATTTTTGAGTTAGTGTTTTTCTTTCCTTTGGATCTATTTCCAGAAGTGGAATTGCTGGATCATATGGTAGTTCTACTTTTAATTTTTTGAGGATCCTCCATATTGTTTTCCATAGTGGCTGTGCCAGTTTACAATCCCACGAACAATGCACAAGAGTTCCCTTTTCTCCACATCCATGCCAGCAGTTGTTATCTCTTGTCTTTTTTTTCGTGAGGAAGATCAGCCCTGAACTAACATCCACTCCAATCCTCCTCTTTTTGCTGAGGAAGACTGCCCCTGGGCTAACATCTGTGCCTATCTTTCTCCACTTTATATGGGACACCACCACAGCATGGCCTGACAAGCAGTACCACGGTTTGCACCAGGGTCCGAACATGGGCTGCCGGCAGCAGAGCGCGTGCACTTAACCACTACTCCACGGAGCCGGCCCCCTATCTCTTGTCTTTTTGATGATGGCCATTCTAACAGGTGTAAGGTAATACGTTATGGTGGTTTTAATTTTCATTTCCCTCACCACTAGCATGTTGAGCATCTTTTCATCTACCTGTTGGCCTTTCACATATCTTCTTTGGAGAAATGTCTATTCAGGTCCTTTGTCCATTTTTTAATTGGGTTATTTGGGGGCTTTTTGCTACTGAGTTGTATGAGTTCTTTATATATTTTGGATATTAACCCCTTATCATGGTTTGCAAATATTTTCTCTCCTTCTGTAGATTGTCTTTTCACTTTGTTGATGGTTTCTTTTGCTGTGCCAGATTCTCCTTTTCTTACATATTTCTAGGAACTCTTTATAAGTTAGAGAAAGTAGCCTGTGTCTGTAGCATAGTTTCCAATATTTTTTCCTGGTTTGTCATTTGTTTTTTGACTTTGCTTAATGACATCTGCAAAGTCTCTTTTGCCTGTAACATAATATATTCACAGGATCCAGGGATGAGGGTAGGGGGTTCTTTGGAGGACAATTATTGTGCCTTCTACTCCTTTCTGCCTGGAATGTCCTTCCCCAGATATCTGCATGGCTCACTCCCTCTCCTCCTTCACATCTACCCATTTAAAATTGCAACACCGACACCTACCCAAGCACTCCCATTACCCTTACCCGGCTTTACTTTTTTCTTCATAGCAATGATCACTTTTTTTAACATATTATTTACTTATTCACTGCCTGTCTTCCTTCAGAAGACTAGAAACTTCACTGGGACAGAGATTTTTTTTTTTTTTCCTGATTTACTGAACATCCCCAGAGCCTACACAGAGGCTGAAACACAATAAATGTTCAATGAATTTTTATTGAATAGATGAACTTAATAATTTTTGTTGTCTTCTTTTCCTATTGAAGTTTTCATCCTTTTTCTTATGAATTTTTTACACACTTAAGATATTAGCCCTTTGTCAATATGTTGTAAATATTTTTTCTTAGACTATTTGTCTCCAGTTTTCTCTATGCATCTTTTACACTGTTGATAATACATTTTACATACTATATTACAGACTTTTCTTGCTTAACATGACCATAGACAGTTTCCCATCTCTTTTAAAAAGCTTTGAAATCAAGGCTTCCCAGTTGATAGAAGCAGAAATCTGCTGTGTCTCGGCACGTGTTGTGAACTGGAGGAATGTCCAGATGATTTGTATAAGAAAGAGGGTATGTGCTGGGAAACAAGGAATTCTGAGGAGAGGAGTCAGGCCCTAGGAGCTTGATGTACCATTTTCCACCCATTCTAAGAAATGCTTTTTTTTCCCCTCTCATTTTAACACTTCTGAATCAGGATGTGTCTTATAATTGATGGCATCTTCCAATTACAGTTTGAAATGTTTTCCAAACTCTTTTAGTGGTACATAGAATACCAATGTGTCTCACAACTGATAGGTCCTAGATTTGCTAAAATACAAAAGAAAGTCTTGGTCACCTGAGGGGAGTGTGATTGACACCAGAGCATTTGGTTCACCCTTCCCAGCTGTCTCCTAGCTCAGTTCCCCTGGATTCATTTTTAATTTGATGGAGAGTAGGAGGGACTGAAAAGTAAAAACGAAGGAGCTGTTCCACCAAGTACCAGGGAACAATGGGGCACAAGAGGACCTGGATTCCCTTATACTATAGTGTGATACTCGGGGGCTGAGGCCCCTTGGCCTTGGACCTCCTACACCTTGGCCTGTGGGTATTCAGGCGCATGAGTGGTGCTTGGCCGGATTGGACCTGCTCACAAGAATGTTGGAGGCCTTCCCAGGAAAGACTTGGGAGGTTGTGAATGGTACCAGGTTCCCACAACAATTTGCCATCTTCTCAGCATAGTATAGATTTCTCTCTCTTTCTGGGTCAAATTTGAACCTGGTCCCTGGGTGCTGCTGACTTTGATTACAGTCTGAAGAAAATGAGGAGGTGGGGTTAGATCTTGAGGAGAATCAACATTTCCTTAAAATGTATTAGCCTGAGAAGAGATTTTTCAAGGCTTCAAGCAAGGCAGGGCAAGTCTTCTCAGACATATAGGAAAGGCTGCTTCTGCTGGCAAGAAATAATCAGTGGGGTTTAGAGGTTCAGAGTACTCACATACCTCCAAAGGCATCCAAATGCCCTCATTACAATTCATGGAGTCCCTCTGTTTTCCCATCAAGTTCCCTGAGTTTACAGGACACCTGGCAAGGCTGTGAATTCAACGTACATTGTAATTCTGCAATCCACAGGTTCAACCTTGAGGGTCCTGTGGGGGAGGTTTACTGGCTTTGCAGCCATAAGGAACAAGAAGTTTTTAAAAAGGCAGTTATTGAAAATCCCTGATTTTCTAAGTATGCCTTGAGTTGAAAATGATAAGCCCTGAGCATGAAGTTTTCTTTTTATAAGCTTTCCATGCTGCCACTCCCCAATTCTTGTAAACACCATTACCATCACTATGTCTCTTTCAGTAGTCACCAGTACTCACAAAGAATCGCCTTCACTCCTGGCACCCACAGACAATAACTCAAGTAACGGTGTGGTTGTTGGGTGCTATGCATCTCCAGGATCCCATTTCCACTGAAATGAGGCTGTCACTGCCTTCAAACCCATTCAGTTCAGACAATCAGTCCCAGATCTCCACCTTTGAGGATTGTTTCCTGGAGCCACTTCTGGCACCAAATACTTTTATAAATCAGTGTTCTATGGAAAAAACAGAAACCATTCTAGATATTTTAAGCATAAAGGGATTTAATTTATGGAATCAGATACTTAAAAAACTGTTGGTAGGTCTAAAGGAGCAAAAGTCGAGGGAAGCAGGTATTAGTTTCCAGATTCATCATGGCAGCCTTGGGGCAGAGACTGGGGAATGTGCTGCTGCTTGTTCCCTGGTCAGGAACCTCTACCCACGGTGGAACAGCAGGAGGGGGCCTCACACAGGAGCCTGGCGGCTGCTGCAGAGCCTCAGCTATCCTGGGGTCCACACATCAGCCCACTGCTACTGGCTTCTGTGTCCTTTTGCCTTTCAAATAATGCACGAGTTCCTATTAAGAGAAGAATGTAAATCCTAGGACCCTGGAGGCAAGAGTTTCCGGGAAATATAGTTCCCAGGCTTCTGTGGAAGGCAATGGAGATAAACAGATAAATGGGACTTCAAGATTTAAAAAAGGTGAAGAAAGCCTCACCATGTCTAGCACACCCCATAAAAAACAACAACAACAACAAAAATCTTTTTTTAATCAGCAATTCAGCTCTCTTAAGTATCCTCCCTCTTCCTGTGGAAAGCCCCTGCCCTGTCCATGGCTGGTGTTTCTCAATGACTGGCCCACAGGCCAACTGTCTCACTCCAAACCTACTAAAACATACACTCTGGAGGTGAACTTACTGGAACCCTTAAGGACATTTACTTCCAACACTAGGAGTAGCCCATGTTGCTGTCTGAGAGGCTTTTCCTTTTCTCCTAGCAATGAAGCTAAGAGTTTATAACTCTTGCAAAGCTCATAGAACTCGCTGAGCATGTGTCTGGTCTGGGTCCCAGCAGCACCCTGCCCCCCCAGAGTGGGCACTGGCTCTTCCCAGAGTGGCAGCTTGTGTAGTCAGGAGCAGGAAGGGACGTTCCACTCACTGGAGGCATCCTAGACTCGGCCAGCCTCCCCATAAGGCCTACTCCCTGTGTCTGAGTACAAAGCAGGAAGTTCCCTTTGTCCTGAAAAATGACAACTAGTCTGCTGCAGGGTTCCAGCTGCTGCCCCATCATACCCAATCCATACCCTCAGTAGAAATTACAAACTTATAGTTACATGTTTTTATACCTTAGCAGAGAAAAAATTAAGCTGAGTTACAAATCAGATGGTTTTTAAAGGTCTAAAGACGATGGATATGAAGAGAAATATGTCTGTTACAAATTCTCAAGGCTTAGTTATTTTTTTCTTTTTAAGTACAGCCAACTAAAATTTAAATTTGCGGGGCTGGCCCAGTGCCCTAGTGGTTAAGTTCCCGCACTCAGCTTCTGTGGCCTGGGGTTTGCAGGTTTGGATCCCGGGCATGGACCGACGTACTGCTTGTCAAGCTGTGCTGTGGCAGCGTCCCATATGAAGTAGAGGAAGATGGGCACAGATGTTAGCCCAGGGCCAGTCTGCCTCAGCAAAAAGAGGAGGATTGGCAACTGATGTTAGCTCAGAGCTAATCTTCCTCACACACACACAAAAATTTAAATTTGTAAAAAAAACAACAAAAAACAGAGGCATGCTATCTTACCCACCAAGATAGATCAAGCAAAAACTTGGATGTGGTACTATGTCTTAAAAATTCTTTGAACTTAGAACTATATAATGAAGATGAGATATTCAAGACCTTAGTAGCTTTGCACAGAAACTGCCCAGCTTCTTGAATTGCAAAGCTCATGCTTTTCTAAGTCAGCAAGCATGAAGCTTTAGTAGTGATTCCCAGTCTTGGCTGCATATCACATCACCTGGGGATCTCCTAGTGCTGCTGAGTCCTGGGACTGTCCCTAGAAATTTTGATTTGTTTCAGTTTTGTGGGTTTTTTTTTTCCCCCAAGTTCCCCAGGTCATTCTCATGTGCAACCAGGATCGACAACCAAAATGCCAGTGACCATTGTTTAAATGACATGGATGTCTCACTTGTTTTCACAGGACTACTCCACTACTTGTACTACTCGAAGAAATAATCTGATCACTATTTCCGGTCCCACAACGTTATTGTCTTGAACTGATGCCGGTTAAAGCTGTCTTCACCTGGCCTGTAACTGCCGCCCTGTTTGCCTCCTTTCAGAAGCCTAGGATTAAGGCTGATCTTTGTTACAGAAAGGCAGTGACTTTCCTTGGGCAAAACCATGTATGCACACTAATTACTGTCTACATTCTTGGCCAGCCATTTTGAAATGTCTTCTGCATACAATACAAGCCTACTCAAGATTGCTTTTTCTTTCTTTTGCTTGTTCAGAATTTAGGATTTTGAAAGAGACTGAAGAAATAGCTATTTGTAATCTTTAAAACAATGCAATGAAAATAAGCCTTAATTTCAGAGTTTTATTGTATTGCACTAAAGGAACAGCAAGACAGTTATACAATGTTCTCTCTCCTTCTGTTTTCAAAATGTAAAGTACTTGCAAATTCTTAAGAATACCTTTACCACCAGATTAACACAGTAAGTATGATAACCAATTTCTTAATGAATAATGTCTTACAATTAAAACGCATTTAAGGGGCCGGCCCGGTGGCGCAAGCGGTTAGGTGCGCTCGCTCCGCTGCGGCGGCCCAGGGTTCGCTGGTTCGGATCCCGGGCGCGCACCAACGCACTGCTTGGCAAGCCATGCTGTGGCGGCGTCCCATATAAAGTGGAGGAAGATGGGCACAGATGTTAGCCCAGGGCCGTCTTCCTCAGCAAAAAAAAAAAAGAGGAGGATTGGCGGATGTTAGCTCAGGGCTGATCTCCTCACAAAAAAAAAAAAAAAAAAAAAACGCATTTAAAATAGCTTTAAATGCATTCTTCACAAGTAATTCAGCATATATTTTTATATCATGTTCACTTATGCTTAAGAATTAAAGCAGGTATATTACTCTGGAGGAAATATGGGAAATCTCTCATTCATGCAATATATAGGGATAATATTCAAGTCAAAGGGAAAACATCCCACTCTTCTTATATTTTAATGTATCCATATATAATCATCTACATGATAGATGAGGAAACCCATGATGGTTCCCACAGGTATATATTTTCCATAGAAAATATATATCCACAGATATATATTTTCAGTTCATCTGAAGCACCTGGTATCTACAGCTAATTTATAATTAGATGGCATTTCAATAAAACCAAAATGAGCCCTACGAGTTCCTATAAACAAAAGCTTCCAATGGATTAAGGACAGTCAATAACTAATCATTCAAGTGATTATGGTTGTTCCTTAAGGAGTGCAAGTCCCTCCTGTCAACACCGGAGGTAATCATTTGATATTAATTTATATGCAATTCCTTTTAAATTCTTTATCCAAGTATAACATATGAAAAGTCTTTCCACATGCAAAAAATGTGGAAACATTTAAAAAATGAGGAGTCACTTTTTTAAGCAACTGATTAGATTCCATAGGCTACTCTTGGAAACAGGGTCTTGCTGGATAGAATCCCTCCATGTGGTGGCTTTGTGCATTCATTGAACTGGACCCATTCTTCTGAGCGCTGTTCTAAGAGCCCACCAAAACATAGATCATGCCATATAGGTAGTAAAAAAATGTTAGAAGATAAAAAGCAAGTTTGCACCGTCCTTCGTTCTGACAATACGCTAGAATATCTGCATTCATGATGGTTGTAGGGTCGTAGAGTCCTGGTCCACCTATCACTGGTCTACTCATATACCTCCGAATATGATATGCCAAGAGGGGCACATTGAGACCCAGTGTAAGCCACTCTGCTGCACAAAGAAACATGACACAGAAGAAAGCATGGATGAGGTCCTCTGGAAGTACAAGAGGATTCAGAGTATTACACTGGTCTATAGGATTCTTGTAACCAGTCTTCAGCTCATCAAATGCTATAATGTGCCAGATGGTGAAGAAGACAAGCAAGGCGGTGAGGAGCCGCACCAACATGTAGCAAAAGGCCGCAATTGTGAAAGCCACGGCTGGGAGCGAGCGGTGCTGGGCAGCGTGGAGAAGCCGCCGCTGTACCGTTTGCATTCCCACCAGCAATGAGTGCACGTTCTTGTTGCTCCACATCCTTCCAAGCATTTGGTGGTGTCAGTATTACGGATTTATCTACATATGCAATCATGCCATCCAGGAACTAAGAGTTTTATTTCTTCCTTCCCAATCTGTATTCCTAAAATTTCCTTTTCTTTTCTTATTACATTAGGAAGGAATTCCAATACAAAATTGAATAGGAGTGGTGAGAGGGGACATTCTTGCCTTGTCCTGATCTTAGTGAGAAAGCTTCAAGTTTCTCATCATTAAGTGTGATATTAGCTGTAGGTTTTTTGTAGATGGTATTTATCAAATTGAAGAAGTTTATCTCTATTCCTAGTTTGCTAAGGGTCTTTATCATAAATGGGTATTGGATTTTAGCAAATGCTTTTACTGCATCTATTGATATGATCATATGATCTTTCTTCTTTAGCCTGTTGATGTGATGGATTATATTAATTAATTTTCGAATGCTGAACCAGCCTTGCCTACGTGGGGTAAATCCCACTTGGTCATAGTGTATAACTCTTTTTATATATTGTTGGGTTTAATTTGCTAATATTTGTTAAGGATTTTTGCATCTATGTTCATGAGAAATATTGGTTTACAGTTTTACTTTCTTGTAATGTCTTTGTCTGGTTTGGGTATTAGGGTAATGCGGGCCTCACAGAATGAGTTAAGAAGTATTCTTTATGCTTCTATTTTCTGGAAGAGATTGTAGAGAATTGGTATGATTCCTTCCTTAAATGTTTGGTAGAATTCACCAGTGAACCCATGTGGGCCTGGTGCTTCCTGTTTGGGAAAGTTATTAATTATTGAATTCAATTCCTTTAATAGATATAGGTCTATTCAGATAATATATTTCTGAGAGTGACGTCAGCATCATGGCGGAGTGAGCTTTCCCGTGAACTCTTCCCCCGACAAGATACAACAAAAGCAACAGCCACAAACCAACAACGGAATCCCAGATAGTGAAAACCTAGAGCGGAGGGATCCACACTGCCGCACATCTGAGAGCGGAACGTGCTGGGCCCCCGGAGGAAGTGGG